ATCGGCTCAAGAAAACGGTCTCCATCTTTGTGAATTTCTCTCATCTGATGTGTTCAACAACGAGCAATATTTGGTGAAGAATGAAAGATATGTACATTACAGTTTGAAGGTATGAAATTCTGAATAGGTATCACAATTGTAATGATTTTTCGTTGACCTTATACTTTATTTTAGTAAATCCGTTTAAAAAAATCAATTTCAAAAAGATCTGGTCTTACTAAGGTTTTTTTAATTTTTTTTTCCAACTCATTAAACATTTATAAAGTTGCATCCATGATCTGAATAGTTTTGTAAMTTATCAGTATTGTTCGAAGTGTGTTTGCTCTCATCCAAACTTGAACCTTTTTTAACTCTAATTTACGATAAAGCTTATAACAGTATTTTTTTTAAACTTAGAATCCTTGCAAGTCCAGCCCATGCGCCAAAGGAGGCTCGTGTACCTTCCATAGCAACAAGAAAAATTATCGATGTATTTGTATGCCAGGTTACCGAGGTAACCGTTGCCAAGAAGGTGAGAGGAAACGGCTGTTGTGTTAGAAACGATTAAGTTAAATTCAATGACAAATGTTCATAATATCCCATTCGTACTTTGAATTTGCAGTGAATATTTATACAAACAAAAGTTGTTTTTATTCATGTTTACATTACAGACCTTTTGGTCGATAATTCGACCTTCATTAGTCAGTGAAAGTTTTAAGCTTATATACGTAATCGGCTCTGTCTTTTTAGATATCAATGAGTGCAACGTGACGTCACCAGTTTGCCACAGCAGTGCAACATGTAGYAATACGCATGGGTCGTTTATTTGCTCATGTAACCATGGATACGAGGGTGATGGCAAAACAAACTGCTCTGGTAAGAMSCTGGAAATCACTCCGATTTTTTTCCTTTTCATTTATGCTTCTGACGTCGAACTTCAGAWATGTATTCTCGCTCGTAGAAGTCTCTAGGGCTCGTTGTTGCTGTTTGTTGTTATTATTCGCAAGTTGATTTGTCGACTTTTCAAGTTTCTACGTTTTCATTCACCAGTGATTCACACAAGTTCAAAATCTCTCATTGTGATATTCAAACAGAATATATCAATATTTCAAGAAACTTAGATACGTTGTAATGTCCTAATGTGTGTTTCTTTTACAACTATTTTCAGATATCAACGAATGCACATCAAAGACACACAAATGTGACACAGATGGTGATTGTGTCAACACTATTGGCTCCTAYGTGTGTAATTGTAAGACTGGCCATTATTTCAACGGTACAAAATGCGTCAGATACCGATACCAATACAGTGAGTACTATARTAAATTGCTCTCGACTCCCTCTGTTCTCGAGATTCTCGATGGTTTACGCTTTTACGTCATAAACCGTATTTACAGTGCATTGTGGGATARCTTTGGAACAAAATTTAACAATGTTTAACATGGCTGATTTCTCCAGAAACATCGTAACCGCACAATGTATTCTTGCAGATCGAGTATAAGCGAGGAAGTTTAATTGACTCCAGCTCAGAGCAATAATTTATTGATAGAATCCTAGTTTAAAGATATGTCATTGCTATTCTTAGGAGGTCTTGGAAACTCGTCAATAATGACCAAATATGGGAATGAGAGCTATTTCCAGGCCCTCTCGGGCTTTTTGAATCCAGTTCTGAAGTACAACGATAGTTACTGGTTGAAATGTTGGCACGGGCAAAAGGATGGTTTCAAATCAACAACATTTCATGCTCTATGTGACGGCAAAGGACCCACTGTGGTGATAGTCAATGTCAAGAAGTTGTACATTTTTGGTGGCTATGTAGATGCGTCTTGGCATTGTAAGTGCATGAAATTGTTTTATTGTGTTTTTAAGTGAATCACTTAGTTTAAAGTTGCTCTTAGAGCGGTTTTCAAT